CCAAATTTCCTCCTCACATCCACCCAAAATGTTTGCTAAAGATTCTGGAAGGGTGGGAAGGCTCCAGAAGCCCTGACCTGTAGAACCTCCCAGCCTGCTCTGAGGTGAACTCACTACCTCACTCCCAGGCTGACTCATCCCAAGCTTCTGCCCAGCCTCTACATACAAAACAACAAACCTAGCTACCTAGAGGCTCTAAAATAATATTAGATACTCACCTCAGAAGTATGGCCCCAAAGAGTCATCACAAAGAGCTGGAGGTCAATACGATCACTGCTCTAGAATCTTGATTAATCGAGGTAGATACTAATTGTTTTATCGAATTCAGACATTCTCAGCTGGGTTCCTTCAGAGGTTGTTGGGGGTTCCGTGAGCTTTGCCTGAATGACCCCCCCCCCCCCTCCATCTGATGGTGCCACCATAGTTCTGGGACCCATGTCCCTTGGCAGAGCCAGCGCCATGACATCAATGATCTCTTTAGCTGTCCCTTACGGAGCCAATCTTACCAATTTATTGGACACTTTTCCCACTGACCACCAATGAAGCAGAGGTTCCCAAGGTGTAAAAATTATTTTTGGAGTTCCTCTGGGGTAAAAAGGTTGAGAGGTTTTTTTTTTTTTTGCTTGTGTAATCTTTGTACAAAAATGACTGTAAATAACTCTATCATGAAGTAACACGCGGATCATTCATACTACGAAGTACCCAGTGTCCTCCTCCTGAGTCACATGCTTGCTCCGCCATTGAAGAAGAGCAACCTTTTGCTGCCATCTAGAGGTTCCCTTAAGTAATGCACCTCACACCTTGATATTTAATATAAAATACGTACATTTATGTTCCTTTTATATGTTATAGAGCCTTTTATATATCTTTGCTGAACAAATCATTCATTTTTCTCACTAGGGACCCCATCACACCAGTAGGCACACGTTATGGCGCACATAACACACATGCACTCTGAGTTGTAGCGCGGTGTAGTGCAATGTGCCGCATAATATCTCAGACATGGACACCAACGCACTTGTCATTGGTTGTTATGGTGCAGGTGGCTGGGCTACACAGTGTCATTGGTTGTTATGGTGCAGGCAGCTTGGCAGCACAGTGTCATTGGTTGTTATGGTGCAGGCGACTGGGCTACACAGTGTCATTGGTTGTTATGGTGCAGGCAGCTGGGCTACACAGTGTCATTGGTTGTTATGGTGCAGGCAGCTGGGCTGCACAGTGTCATTGGTTGTTATGGTGCAGGAAGCTGGGCAGCACAGTGTCATTGGTTGCTATGGTGCAGGCGGCTGGGCTGCACAGTGTCATTGGTTGTTATGTTGCAGGCAGCTGGGCTGCACAGTGTCATTGGTTGTTATGGTACAGGTGGCTGGGTTGCACAGTGTCATTGGTTGTTATGGTACAGGTGGCTGGGCTATACAGTGTCATTGGTTGTTATGGTACAGGTGGCTGGGTTGCACAGTGTCATTGGTTGTTATGATACAGGCGGCTGGGTTGCACAGTGTCATTGGTTGTTATGGTACAGGTGGCTGGGTTGCACAGTGTCATTGGTTGTTATGATACAGGCGGCTGGGTTGCACAGTGTCATTGGTTGTTATGATACAGGCGGCTGGGCTGCATAGTGTCATTGGTTGTTATGATACAGGCGGCTGGGTTGCACAGTGTCATTGGTTGTTATGATACAGGCGGCTGGGCTGCATAGTGTCATTGGTTGTTATGGTACAGGTGGCTGGGCTACACAGTGTCATTGGTTGTTATGGTACAGGCGGCTGGGCTGCACAGTGTCATTGGTTGTTACGGTCCAGGTGGCTGCCTATACTTCACCCTCTGAAACAGACACTGTCGGCGCCTCTCCTCAGCCACATTTGTGACTACTTTGAACTGTGAATTATTTCCCAGCGGTGTTCTCCCACCAGGGTAACTGTAATGTTGCCATTCTGCTCAATGCAAGTTCCAAGTTTTATTGCAACCGAACTGCACCGCCCCACGCAGCACCTCCCCCACGTGCTGAGGTCACAACTTTGGGTGATGGACAAAGTCTGAGGTTGGGGAGCTGTTTTTGGGACTCTCAGTGGGGTAGAGAGGAGCTTCCACATGAGGCTTGTGTATGATGGTTAGTAGAGATGAGCAGCTGGGTCCACCATCATGGTCAAAGAGCCTTCAATGGACTGTGTGGTCTGTGTTGTTTTGATATTGGGGCAAAATATGATTGAACCCCCCCTCCCCCCCATGGTGCCTTTCAGCAATCTCAGCCCTTGCTTTTTCCCAACCAGCCTTTCCCCCAGCCAATGAGGTGAGAAGGCTATGCTACGAGAGGTAGGTTCACTAACGAGATCCTTCCTGCATTCCAGTGCTGAACCCACCTCAGGGCTGCAGACAGGGCAACTCATTCCCATCCTCAGGGTTCACCTCATCAGCCCAGCTACAGAATGATCATCCCCATAACTTATAGAGGTGTATTTTAAAAAAAAGGAACCCCATAGCTGTTTATCCATCAAAACATCATAAAAAATGTGTTCTGAGTGGGGCAAAATGGAACGTTCTCAAGCTTTATTCTGTGCAGTTCAAATGTGTGAATGCAGAAAATTTTGTATATAATGGCCACTAGATGGCACTGACTATGACAGGAAAGAAGTACCTTCTCAGATCCATTTAGTGCGGTATTTTCCACATTCACACGTTGGAATGTAGCCGGGAACATTCAATTTCACCCCATTCACAGAGAACAAACGTACATGGAGCTGCACCGGACAAATAGTATTTTTTTTTTATAAATACTCCCCTTAAACCCAACTCATAAAATGCGATCAATAAATGCTAAATATTCACTCACTATGGGATTCGTTTTCTGTATTTTGGAAAAAAACTGGTTGATCCTGCTGCTCTCTGTCTCCCCCTCCAGTTCATGTCCCCAATTCAGTTGGGGATTTTTCAGAGCCACGTTGGCAGCTACTGCACATGCTCAGTTTTCAGTGTATCTCTACCCTGAGCATTCCCTATCCCTGATCAGCTCATGTGACTATAGAGTCACACATGTGGGCGTGTACACAGTGGTAAGTGACAGCCCCCCTCCCTCCTTCATCCATGCCCACTAACTAGCTAAACACAATGGGAGGGGGGCGGGATATTACATCTTGATTGATGGAGGATTTACCTCCCTCTTGTTGTAAGACACAGGCTGGGACTGGCAGAAATCCACCCACACCATGTTATTGCCAATATATACTGTAAATATATATATATACAGTGAAGGAAATGTGTATTTGCTCCCCGGCTGATGCTGAATGTTTGCCCCTCACACAGAAATGATCGGTCTAACAATCGAATGTTCGGTGTAACACTGAGAGACAGAATACAACAACAAATTCAGCAGAAATGCGTCTAACAAATGAGGGTTTTGTGGGTTTTTTTTTACATTTTGTTTTTTTTTTACTTTAAAATTTTATTTATATCACATTGGGAATGAAAAAAAATCTGTGATAAGATATTTTGAGGACAGGTTCTCTTCATCACGACATCAGGGATGTTTTAGACCTCTATACCTCACCTATAGCTCCCAACTGTCCCTGGTTTCGAGGGACTGTCCCAGATTTGGAACAAAGCACCTCTGTCCCTTCTCCCTACTCATTTGTCCCTCATTTGGGTCTGATCTGTATACTTGTATATAAAATGTACTTTTTATCATTCAAAAAGGGTTTCCCAGAGCTAAAGCTTTCATCCAATTTCTAAATTGTTGCATTTGTAAACTTTGCAAGCCGATATAAAGGAATAGTAGTGGTAACAAAAAAGCCCTTGTGGGTTTGACTAATTTTTTTTTGTAGAATGCTCCTTTAAGGGGGCGTGGCAGGGGGCGTGTCCTATGCCTACATACTTTTACTAATAGGTATCCCTCGTTCCCATCTCAAAAGGTTGGGAGGTTTGCTCACCTGCCTTCCATTGAAGTAATGGAGTGCAGATCATGCTCCATTAGCTTGTCCCCTGACCACAAGAGGACCCCTCCTGCCAGACCCCCCTACCCATGTGGTTCCACCTGTGTCATAATGGATAGCAGGAGGAAATCAAGTAACATCCATTCACGGATTTTCTCTGCACTGAATTAAACCAGAAGCTTGAGGATCTCGTCACTTCTGGATTCAGAGCCTCCATTCCCTGGCCGGTACAGCCAGGCAAGCGTTTTTATCAAGCAGATCCCTGCTCAGTTAGATGTTTTGGAGGACAGGGGACACATTGGGATCTATTAGACCCCTAATGTCTCCATAAAGAGTACCTGTCACCTGCCCCAGGGGGTTTGGTAACCTCTTGACATAACAATAGTGTCAAATTACAAGGGGCGTTCAAGTCAAACCGAGACTTTTGAGTTGATATTATTATTATTATACAGGACTTATATACCACCGACAGTTTGCTCAGCGCTTTACATTATGGGGGGAGACAGTACAGTAACAATACAGTTCAATACAAGAGGGATTAGAGGGCCCTGCTCCTTGGAGCTTACAATCTAGGAGGGAGGGGATAGTTTTACAAAAGGTAATTAGCTGTGGGGGATGGAGTGGTAGGAGGAGTATGGGATTCCAGTATTAGCTGGGGTCGGGGTAGGCTTCCCTGAAGAGATGGGTTTTCAGAGTGCGCCTAAAAGTGAGCAGAGTAGGCGATAGCCTGATAGCTTGGGGTAGGGAGTTCCAGAGGATGGGTGAAGCCCGTGAGAAATCCTGGAGATGAGCATGGGAGTAGGCGACAAGGGAGCTAGAGAGTAGGAGGTCTTGCGAGGAGCGGAGAGTACGGTATGGGTGATATTTAGAGACAAGGTCGGTGATGTAATTAGGGGCAGTATTATGAACGGCTTTATACGTCAGTGTTAGTGTTTTGAATTTTATCCGTTGGGCAATTGGAAGCCAGTGGAGGCATTGGCAGAGAGGGGTGGAGGACACTGAGTGGAGGACAGTGGAGGGATTGGCAGAGAGGGGTGGAGGACACTGAATGGAGGCCAGTGGAGGGATTGGCAGAGAGGGGTGGAGGACACTGAGTGGAGGCCAGTGGAGTGATTGGCAGAGAGGGGTGGAGGACACTGAGTGGAGGCCAGTGGAGGGATTGGCAGAGAGGGGTGGAGGACACTGAGTGGAGGCCAGTGGAGGCATTGGCAGAGAGGGGTGGAGGACACTGAATGGAGGCCAGTGGAGGGATTGGCAGAGAGGGATGTAGGACACGGAATGGAGGCCAGTGGAGGGATTGGCAGAGAGGGGTGGAGGATTCTGAATGGAGGCCAGTGGAGGGATTGGCAGAGAGGGGTGGAGGACACCGAGTGGAGGCCAGTGGAGGGATTGGCAGAGAGGGGTGGAGGACACTGAATGGAAGCCAATGGAGGGATTGGCAAAGAGGGGTGGAGGACAGTAAGGTGGATAAGTCTGGCAGCAGCATTCATGATAGACTGAAGAGGGGATAGCCCACGATGAGGTCGGCCAATGAGGAGGGAGTTACAATAGTCAAGGTGAGATATAACAAGGGAGTGAATGAGTTGCTTAGTGGATTCCAGGGTTAGGAACGAGCGTATCTTGGAGATATTGCGGAGGTTGGAGATGTTGCGAAGGTTGGAGGTGTTGCGGAGGTTGGAGATGTTGCGGAGGTTGGAGGTGTTGCGGAGGTTGGAGATGTTGCGGAGGTTGGAGATGTTGCGGAGGTTGGAGGTGTTGCGGAGGTTGGAGGTGTTGCGGAGGTTGGAGGTGTTGCGGAGGTTGGAGATGTTGCGGAGGTTGGAGATGTTGCGAAGGTTGGAGATGTTGCGGAGGTTGGAGATGTTGCGGAGGTTGGAGGTGTTGCGGAGGTTGGAGATGTTGCGGAGGTTGGAGATGTTGCGGAGGTTGGAGGTGTTGCGGAGGTTGGAGGTGTTGCGGAGGTTGGAGATGTTGCGGAGGTTGGAGATGTTGCGGAGGTTGGAGATGTTGCGGAGGTGAAGTCTACAAGATTTGGACAGTGATTGGATCTGGGGTTGGAAGGACAGATGGGAATCTTGGATTACACCTAGTACCCTGGCATGAGGGGTGGGACTGATAGTAGTGTTGTTGATCTTGATGGAGAAGTCGAGGGGGGGGGGGGCACGGGCTGGGGGGAAATACTAGAAGCTCAGTTTTGGAAAGGTTGAGTTTGAGGAATATAATAAAAGAACAAATTTCAAGGAGTGGAAACTGCATTTATTTTTCTGATATCCTCCCCTGCTACATTTCTACACTTATCCCAGCGTGTCACTAATGCCTGGAAAGCTTTGGCATAGTAAGATAGCTCTTGCGGTAAATATCGGCATTGTGGTAATTACTGCATATTTTCATGTGGTAATTTCGATCGCCACATCCTTATCAACGGATAACTCATCAGCCGTCAGCGGTCGTTCCACGGACAGCTAAATATATTAAAACATGCAATTAAAAATGATGACAAAAACAGCTTGGGGTCCCCCCCATCCATACTAGGCCCTTTGGGTCTGGTATGGATTTTAAGAAAAACCCCACACCAAAATTAAAAAAAAACAGCCCTTAGGTCTGGTGTGGATTTTGGGGGAACTCTGTCCCCCCAAAAAAAAATGGTGTGGGGGTTCCCTCACAATTCTAAGGGATATTGGGTCTTGCATGGATAAGGGGGGACCCCACACCATTTTCTTTTTTTAATCTTGGCACCCGGTTCCCCTTAAAGTCCATACCAGACCCCTAGGGCCTGTTATGGACTGGGGGGGTGGTAAACCCCCACGCTGCATCTGAAAAAATACTGCATGTGATACCTCCAGCAAAACCCTGGTGATAAATATCGCATCTTTTTTACTTTCTGTTTTGTTTGTGAATTGGACTTGATGGGTTACCACATTTTTTTGCGACATTTACTGGAACATTTTTAATTTTTTGTTAAATATTGTAGAATCGGTATATTTTTTCATGAAATTGACTTTTTTTTACCGCATGTGATCATTTATGCAAATGAGCCATGTGACCGCGTTATCGCATGCGGTAACTTTCAGTAAATTGGCCCTTTATCTTTCACTTGCCTGCATATTCTTTTTTATCTACTTTCTATAAGGTTGAATTAGCGGAGGGGAGCAAAGTGAGACCACCAGGCCTGGAGCCTTAACTGAGGGGAGAAAGACCATGACCACCAGGCCTGGAGCCTTAGCTGAGGGGAGAAAGACCATGACCACCAGGCCTGGAGCCTTAGCTGAGGGGAGCAAGACCATGACCACCAGGCCTGGAGCCTTAACTGAGGGGAGAAAGACCATGACCACCAGGCCTGGAGCCTTAGCTGAGGGGAGAAAGACCATGACCACCAGGCCTGGAGCCTTAGCTGAGGGGAGAAAGACCATGACTACCAGGCCTGGAGCCTTACCTGAGGGGAGAAAGACCATGACCACCAGGCCTGGAGCCTTAGCTGAGGGGAGAAAGACCATGACCACCAGGCCTGGAGCCTTTGCTGAGGGGAGCAAGACCTTGACCACCAGGCCTGCAGCCTTAGCTGAGGGGAGAAAGACCATGACCACCAGGCCTGGAGCCTTACCTGAGGGGAGAAAGACCATGACCACCAGGCCTGGAGCCTTAGCTGAGGGGAGAAAGACCATGACCACCAGGCCTGGAGCCTTTGCTGAGGGGAGCAAGACCATGACCACCAGGCCTGCAGCCTTTGCTGAGGGGAGCAAGACCATGACCACCAGGCCTGCAGCCTTAGCTGAGGGGAGAAAGACCATGACCACCAGGCCTGGAGCCTTAGCTGAGGGGAGCAAGACCATGACCACCAGGCCTGCAGCCTTAGCTGAGGGGAGAAAGACCATGACCACCAGGCCTGGAGCCTTAGCTGAGGGGAGAAAGACCATGACCACCAGGCCTGGAGCCTTAGCTGAGGGGAGCAAGACCATGACCACCACGTCTGGAGCCTTAGCTGAGGGGAGAAAGACCATGACCACCAGGCCTGGAGCCTTAGCTGAGGGGAGAAAGACCATGACCACCAGGCCTGGAGCCTGACTAAAGGCATGCTCAAAGTTCCCCAACACTGATGCCTCCATGGGGCTGCATGGTCTTCCTGGTGTCACTTGTCACATCTACATTGTCATTGCCAAGGTTTCTGACACAATATATGTCATTACCAGGGGCGGAGTGACCATTCAGACACTTGGGCACTGCCCAAGAACCTGGGGTCAGTAGGGGGCCCCATGAGATGCCCCTTATACCTTTCATAGGCTTTTTTGGGAGTGGTTTGAGTGTAGGCGAGGACACAGGGGCCCCATGATCTCCTAATGTCCGGGGGCCCTGTGAGTTGTCAGTCCGCCCCTGGTCATTATATATTATATTTTAATATAATTTTATTATGCGTATCTCTCATTTAATATAAACATCGGGAAAGTTTGGGCAGGGAAAGAAAATAGCTAAGAAAGAAAGTACTGGTTGGCATTTCTGAAGATGAAGAGATCTTCCAATCAGCAGGAAAATGGCCAAACTCTTTGTAAAAGGTAAGAGGTTTTTCTGCAATCACACCGTCCATCATGTACTTGCAATATGATTTCATTTTAAGGACGCCACCTCTTCCTTCTATCACTAATATCATCATCATTATTATTATTATTACTACTACCTTGTTTTAGTTGTAATGTGAGTAGTAACTAAACAAATGTACGGGCGCTCTATTGTAACAATGCAATGATGTAAAAAGCCAGTCTCGTGTCCTGCTAGAGGATTAACTATCTGCCTGGAAGGATGGAAGAGAGGAAGAGGAGGAGGAGGGAGATGGGACAATGCAAGGAAAACCCAACAGAGAGAAAATAGGAGATCAGCAATTACTGTATCATCTTCATTGTCACAAGAGTTCCACATCAGAGAGAGAAAGATGGAGACCGACAGAACAGAGAAATACAAGGTAAGAAAGAGGTAGACCGATAAAAGATTGGAGAAAAATGAGGAGAGAAAGTGAGACCACCAGGAGACCGAAAAATACAAGATAGGAGGGAGAAGGGAAGGGAAGAGCAGAGGAGAGAAGGGAAGGGAAGAAGAGACACAAAAAGACATAAAAAGAGAAAAGTAGAACCAATTTGCACCCCTTGTAACCCGCCTGGCAGAACGTTCACTCCAGACTTGTAGAGAAGAGAAGGGAAGAAAAGGGAAGAGAGGGGAAGAGAAGAGAATAGAAGGGAAGGGAAAGGAAGGAGAAAAGTAGACACAAAAAGAGAAAAGTAGCACCAGTTTGCACCCCTTGTAACCTGCCTGGCAGAACGTTCACTCCAGACTAGTAGAGAAGAAAAGGGAAAAGAAGAGAAGAGAAGGGAAGGAGAAAAGTAGACATAAAAAGAGAAATGTAGCACCAATTTGCACCCCTTGTAACCCACCTGGCAGAACGTTCACTCCAGACTAGTAGAGAAGAAAAAGGAAGAGAAGAGAAGTGAAGGGAAGGGAAGGGAAGAGAGGGGAAGAGAAGAGAAGGGAAGAGAAGGGAAGGGAAGAAAAGGGAAGAGAGGGGAAGAGAAGAGAATAGAAGGGAAGGGAAGGAGAAAAGTAGACACAAAAAGAGAAAAGTAGCACCAATTTGCACCCCTTGTAACCCACCTGGCAGAACGTTCACTCCAGACTTGTAGAGAAGAGAAGGGAAGAAAAGGGAAGAGAGGGGAAGAGAAGAGAATAGAAGGGAAGGGAAAAGAAGGAGAAAAGTAGACACAAAAAGAGAAAAGTAGCACCAGTTTGCACCCCTTGTAACCTGCCTGGCAGAACGTTCACTCCAGACTAGTAGAGAAGAAAAGGGAAGAGAAGAGAAGGGAAGGAGAAAAGTAGACATAAAAAGAGAAATGTAGCACCAATTTGCACCCCTTGTAACCCACCTGGCAGAACGTTCACTCCAGACTAGTAGAGAAGAAAAAGGAAGAGAAGAGAAGTGAAGGGAAGGGAAGGGAAGAGAGGGGAAGAGAAGAGAAGGGAAGAGAAGGGAAGGGAAGAAAAGGGAAGAGAGGGGAAGAGAAGAGAATAGAAGGGAAGGGAAGGAGAAAAGTAGACACAAAAAGAGAAAAGTAGCACCAATTTGCACCCCTTGTAACCCACCTGGCAGAACGTTCACTCCAGACTAGTAGAGAAGAAAAGGGAAGAGAAGAGAAGAAAAGGGAAGAGAAGAGAAGAGAGGGGAAGAGAAGAGAAGAGAAGGGAAGGGAAGAAAAGGGAAGAGAGGGGAAGAGAAGAGAATAGAAGGGAAGGGAAGGGAAGGAGAAAAGTAGCACCAATTTGCACCCCTTGTAACCTGCCTGGCAGAACGTTCACTCCAGACTAGTAGAGAAGAGAAGGGAAGAGAAGAGAAGGGAAGGGAAGGAGAAAAGTAGACATAAAAAGAGAAATGTAGCACCAATTTGCACCCCTTGTAACCCACCTGGCAGAACGTTCACTCCAGACTAGTAGAGAGCTTGATAGGAATATTAGATTAGCATACACTGCCGATAGTGAAGTAATTTCATTTTTGGATCTCTCAATCTCAATATATGAGGATAGATTAATTACTAAAACATTTAGAAAAGAAACAGCAGCTAATACACTCCTACATGCTACTAGCTAGCACCCGGAAAGTTTAAAACAAGGTATACCCATTGGCCAGTTCCAGAGAATAAAAAGGAATTGTACTGACGATGCCCAATATAGA